CATGTACATGTAGGCCGAGTTCGGGCGGCATGTTCCCGTCTGTTCATGAACAGCTCTATGTGTTGTTCGTGGGCCGCTCGGACACCGGGAACAAACAACCGGTTACCAATGGTAGTTAGTGACAAGCAACATGCAACATGGCGGCATCCATGTAGGCTATGCTATTCGCGAGTTAATGTTCGGATGGTTGAATTCTTTTCTATATAAACAGAAACATTCATTTCTGTGTTACGGAAAATAATTAACGTTAATTTTGCGAAACTTCCCATTGTCTATGGCTTTGGAAGCCATCTCTCTACTTTTTGCAGCTGTTCAAAAATCAAAATCTCACAAGTTTTTCCGTGTGTTCCTGTAAAACCCTGACGAAGAGGTGGTGTGTGATCCTGTTCCGAGAACAGTGTTCTTGAGTCGTGTTCCTGCCCCTAGAGTAGGGGGCCTAACAGTACCAAACTCAAGTGATGAATACATGTACATCACATGCTTCTCAACTTGACATGTACCCATCTGTATGTACATGTTTTGGGCAAGTCCCAAACTCCCAACACTGGTTAAGGAGACATTCAGTGGGCACATACACGTACATTGTACATGACTGTAGCTGTATCACCCAGGCTGAGTGTGGCACCACTATCCACCCCGAGCTGAAGTGCACCCCCAATCAGCAATAGAAAGACAGGTGCTTACAAGCAGGTTCTTGCAGGCGTTCTGCGTGTACGCAAAGACCATACAAGCCGGAATAAATTAGATTAGCGTACTCAGCGTGCTTCGCATTAAACTTGCCGTCTCAACACGTGCCTATGCAGTGAGTAACAAAAAACATGCCCTGTTTTGTTCCACTCAGAGCGGATAACAAAGTGCCTTCAGATTTTAGCTGTCAAATTAATCTACACATTATAGGACTTCTTGGCCAGAAGGCTCAACCAATGTTTTCTGTATTCTGCTAAATTTCTGTGCATGGCCACTCTATGAAACTGACTTTCATACCCGTACATGTAAGTAAACTGTGACCGATACACATTACATGTAAATGTACACATGTACATGTGTGTCTTCTCAATCAAAGGTTTTCCAGTTCCGCCACGACGGTAATGACAGTTTTCTCCGCGACTGGGACGATTACCGACTTGGGTTTACCAGCCCTCATGGCAGCATCCTGTGGCTTGGAAACGAGAACCTGCATAGGCTGACGTCCTCCGGCTCATGGGTGTTAGGGGTGCTGCTGGTTGACTGGGCAGATGAAGCACGGTCTTCTTTTTATTGGAACTTCAGAGTGTCGGATGAGTCACAAGGCTACAGGTTGAACATCGATAGCTATCTCTCCATTGATGGAGGTAATGTGATTTCACTTTGACTCCAAACAAGGACAATAGATTTGGATTCATTTTCACAACGACATCGTAAGAAAAATTCAATCTCAAACCGGGAAGAGATTTACAGTGATAAACTTGAAACTAACACCTCTTACAATGTCTGACTACGATTCCATCCCCCCCTCCCATTTGCAAAAGCATCTCTGGAAAAGCCTCTGCCTCATTTAAAACTGCTGCCGTGCAAACTCCGCTCACAGCTATAGATGTTGTACCTATTTCGTCCTCAGATGCTGGAGATTCCTTGAGCATGCACAACGGTGCCAAGTTCTCCACCTGGGACAAAGACAACGATGTGTCGGACGTTAACTGTGCTAGTCTCTACAGTGGAGGCTGGTGGTTCACCGACTGCTTGGACTCAAACCTCAACGGCGAATACTTTGGGACTGGGAACCATACTTCAGCTTTAACCAACCAGGGGATTATCTGGTCCTCTTGGAAAGGCAGACATTACTCTGTTAGGCAAACCATGATGTTTTTGATAAACAACGGCAGTGAGGTGTTTGTTTGATCCAAATCCTGAATGTTACCAATATGCACTTCGAGTTGGTGGCGGGACTTTCTCGAATTCCGTGGTTCCCAATTATTTAGCACTTGAATTCTTTCTTGTGATAAAAGTATAGGCTCTTCAGAAGCACATCATTAGAGAGGTATATGTATACAAGTAATGCATGAAGGCAGAAAACTTAGAGGGCAAAGGCTTAGTGTCACTAGGACAGGCCCAAGTTCAGGGTATACATGTACATGTACATGTACATGTACCTTTGGTGCATGTACTGTAACTAAACTAAAATAACCAAGAACAGGCTGAGTCAATTCGAATAATTTACTTTTCGAATATTCGACCTTCAATTCGATCAAATATCCAAATATTTGGTCGTACCGACCAGCAGGTTGTTGATGAATATACTAAATAACACACACAGTTGGACATTATAATCACTTTAATAGCTTCTCACATCTAGGAGTATCTCCAGCCATGATTTAGCAAGATTTAAGAGATGAAGAAAACTTGCCCTGCTGAAAATTTCTATTCCTTTTAATTCTTTTAATGAATAATTTATTTTTTGAATTATTGTAAGATTTACATCACTTTTCATTTAAATATGCTTAAAACCAGATCTCTATAAGGCAATTTTTCTCACTTAAAACAACAGAAAATTTTCCCTTCCTTTTCATGAATTTTACATTTGGAAGATAATATTTGAATATTAGATTATCAAATATTCAGATATTCAAATATGTGGCACATCTCTATGCATGTTACAGCCCACAGGTGAACTTAGAGAGAAAAGAAAAGGAAAGTTTGGTCTAAGAAGTGGGAGGCAAACACTAAATTACATTTTCAGAGTATAAAAAAGTCAAAACCAACCTGTCACTGCATAAAATTTTCCAAAAACAAGAGCACAAAGGGGCATGTACATGTACCCTGTCCTTAAACCAGGTGTTGGATTTTGTCAGTCAGGCAGAGTGCTGACCAGAACACTTCTTGGGTAACCAATGAATGCAGGGAGCCTTTTCGGCCTTTAAATAGGAGCAGAAATCCTGTACATTCACGTATGTGTAGCTCAGTACCCTGATAATCTATGCACTCAGCACACTTTGTTGTCACAACATCCTCTTCTAACATTTTTCTCATGTTAAATGTGCAACTGTGTACTGTATATTTAGGGCTTTGGAACTTGAGTGTAAAGTGCTGTGGATAAACTGTACATGTAGTATACATTATTATCAGGACTCATAATCATATTGACTTTGNAGTATAATGACCAACTACTCTATGAGATAAAAGACACTCAGTTGTAGGTACAGAGGTGCAAATGTACCTGAACATGGTGTACAATAGGGGGTGCGTTCACGTGGTTACTCCTGTTAACACGAGATTAGGACGCATGAGCATTACACCCAGATGCAGAAGTATACTCCCCCTCCAGTGAGGGTATACTCTCGTTGACTCGGGGGTCGTACTCCTGCCGTTCCAGCGCTCGAGTATACTTATGTTAACATGAGTAGCTCACTCAGACGCACCCCGAATGCCAACTCAAGCAGCAGAAAAATGTGTAGATGTAATAAAAATGTGTTCATGTTAAAATTTAATTGAAATAAAATGTATGCATGTTTGATGTAACCCCGTTTGCGACTTTCTCGTGGGTCTTGATTCTGAGAAAGGACACTGCCACTGGTAAAATATTCTGGTTTCAGGCTAATTTAAGAAAAACCTCTATGCACAACTATTCCACTGGCTTAGAGTGAGGTCATGTGTGACGTCAACATTTAGCATTCCTAAATGCACTCACACTTAGCCATGAAACAGTCATCGTGGGATGAGTTTGAAAGGTGCCTTGGTTGCAATCAACACTTTGACAGTATAGCCGTGAGTCACCCAGAAAAATGCATGTAGGCCTATTTAAAATACATAATATTTACGCCTTACATGTAAGTGGATCCTGTGTTTCATGAATGCTCTCCATTGACCTGGTGAATGTTACCAGTGCACAAACCTCTCAGACTTGTCTGAAAAAAAACCTAAACATGTGTTTTCTATGTACTGTAGATACTTCATCTGAATTTCACTTTTGGGGATGTTTTAATGACTTTCTCATGGCTATTAGTGTTAGCCTTTAACATTTTTAAGGGGAAAACTAGTGTTGTCCGTACATATAACTCTTCCCCAAACTTGACACGTTGACAGGAAGGGAACATATTCAAGGATACTGGACTGACAAACTGCTCAGAAAGGGCAAACCCCCATTTTTCATAGAGCATGACTAGTGACTTAGTGCATGAAGGTCTCTTCCTACCTCCATATTCTGAGTGTAACGTGAGTGTAGTGTCATTCGTTACCTTTCGTTGGGGGTACTTCACCGATATATCTCACGGTCCCAAAGCTTTCGTCGCTGATGAAGCGAGCTCCAACTTCCACGTCATTTGGCAGGCCAGTAGCTTCATCCCTGGAATTCCTAGCAGGCATTTTTGTTTACAAAGTGGGGAACACAGACACTCTACGTTTCTACATGTACCAAGGAAGAAAAGATCTACTATTTTCGCAGACACAGTTTTGTTATGCAAGGCTCAACTTTGCTCTCCATCGTCGCGCCTCGATCGCATCCAACGTGTTTAATATAATTCAGGGGACTATTGAGGGCGCTGTTTGATTTTAACATTACGAGTTCACGTTCGACGCCGGTGCGACAGCGACGTACCTGCCTGTGCATCGCATGCATATGTACGCATGGCTTACAAGTTACCGGTACATTGGCCAAAAATTTTTGAAGTGCAAAGCACAGAGGCAAAGAGAAAAAGACCCGACGAGTGCTCCTGCTAGACTCACAGCGTAACAGTAACAGTACACATCATGGACTGCTTTGCAGATGTTCTAGACAGTCTTGATGACTTAGGGTAGGCACCTTAGGCTTTACAAACATGCCAACGCGTCATTACGAGGAAACTTTGACTGAGAAATTGGAAATGTCCCGGATTGCAGGGGGCCCCAGGCCATTTCTCTTCTCCCGGAGGGTGTCGGTCACTTTACTACTTTTTTAGTAGCCTAACGGGAAAGAGTTCTACCCCGATAACAGTGTGGGGTCCGACATCTGCCCCGCTCCAGTCCCATATACGGACGCCAGTAANTTATTCCCTACAGACTACAGTGACCTACATGTACATATACTATAGTAAGCCTTCAGAAAGCAAAACGTGTCCAGAAAAGTTCAATTTAGGAGGGAAAAACCAAGTTGTTTACTTATGGTCTTAAAAAACTCTGACTTAGGATTTTTCAGACCAGTACTAGGTAAGCCTATGTGCACCCCCAACATGTGCACAGGATGTCAAGTGGCATCCGTCTATCTACGGATCGCTCTCCGCCTAACGTTCATGACATTACATACAGCCAAATCAGAGATTCCGATTCAAACAACTTACTAAAGCTAGGGGCCTAGTGTTGTTAATGTGTGAACATGGCCTATTTTTTACATCGGATTGCATGTGTTAATTTTATTGTATCATTTCTTCGCCAGAATCAAATAATTGCCAAGTAAAGAGATCTTGTACAGTGTTTGGTTCTTTTTCTTTTAAATTAAATACCCGTTTCTGTTTTCGTGAGGTAGGCCTGTGTCACACAAAAGTCATTCACACACCAAAATGTCTTGAACGAAAGCATTAAATAGAAGAGAAGGAGGCGACTTGGGGAAACGTTCATTTTTGTTTCATTCATTATTCCAAGCTTATTTCGGCAAGGGTATGAGTTGCATAGCTTATCAAAATTTGCAGCTTCTCGCAATATGGGCTGATGTGCCTCGTATATCTATTAGCAAACCACAATTGAAGTAGATGTGAAAGTAAAGGCAGTTGATTTGAAAACTTTGATCAACTTATGTAACCGCTTCATTGACTTCCATTTACTTTAAGGCCCTTTAGTTGGTTTTGGAGGATACGGATTTAGAAACGTCCCATCTTCATTGTAATGAGCCCCTGAACCATTCATTACGAATCTATTCAGCGTTGGCTTGAGAGTATGACGTCAAAGATGTATCAGAAACAGCCTTAAAAATGGGGGATGCATCTTTACACATTCTTCTCATAAATTATCTGGTGTGTTGGATGACAGTAACAATTACCAGAATAATGTAAATATTGTACAGAAATTTGTATCGATAGAAGTCCAACTATTAATTCACCATGTATAATTAAACATAGTCAACAGTGAGTGAATGCCATAGAGCTTTTAATAACCCTATGCCGTTTTGGGAACCCCTCTTTCTCCAAATTTGAGGAGGCTTGTAAACACTTGAACACTGACAAGGCGAAGTGGAAATGGGCAAAGTGGTGGCGGGGTGAAGATGCGGCGAAGATTTGGCGGGAGGAAGTGGGGATGAAGCAAAGTGGAAATGAGGCGAAGTGGGGTGGGGCGATGTCGATAGGGGCAAAAAGGGGTCGGGCTATGTGGATAGGGGCAAAGTGGAAATGAGGTGAAGTGGGGTGGGGCGAAGTGGAAAGCGGAAATGGGGCGAAGTGACTGTAAAGCATCCTGGAGGCCTAATTTTAACTTTTAAAATCACCTCTTGTCTTAGACTTGGTAGACTGGTAGATGACTATGACATCTTGCTCAATAACTGTAGGGTTTATGTTGTGAAAAGAATGCAGAGTTTTGAGGGAAATTATGAGGGGAAACTCTGAATGTTTTAACATACATTGACAGATAACTCTGTGTACCAGATTTTATTCAAATTTAACTGTCAAAAGGCCAAGTGCTATATACTATAACCCTACCATGTCATTGGTTCTTTTTTGACGTCTACATGTAGGTACAAAGGACCCCTCATGGACGAAACTGCTTTCCAACAAGCCATTGACGAAGGTCCTAGCTCAACAGAGTTCACAGCCCTCATCAGCTGGCTTGCTGGAGGACTCAACAGACTAGGTGGCGTAGAAGCAACAGTCTCAGCCACCTCTTGTAAGGCTTACTCAGTGGTAGAGAACTTGGAGGGTTTTCCAAATCTTGATCTTATATTAGGCTCAAGCTTTTTTTCACAATTTTCCAATAAAAAGGATCCAGGCAATGGTTTTTTTTATAGGCATGCTTTTCGTGCAACTTTAAACTCGTCTTCAATTTGACATTGGTAATCTGACATTTGCTGTGATGTCATTCAGGGTAAAAAACATCTAGTTTATGTGTTTCTCTGTTCAAATTAACTGTGAACTGGAATTTGTTTGTTGAAAACATTTCTGAAAGAAAAAAATAGAAGGGCTGCGTATTCTCGTCGATATTCTGAAAGAAAAGGTTCCTTGTTGGTTCACAGAACAATTCCAAGCACATTGTAGTATTCATGCACAAATCTATGTAACATTGAAGTTTCCTCCCCAGGATGACATCAAAATCTTGCTAATGAATATGGAAAAATTACATTACCATGAAAACAAAAAAGGCACCAAAATACATTTGGCTTAACCAAACAAACATTGAAAATAAGGTTATTTGAAATAAAGAAGTGGTTTTTTTCATGGATTGTAGTAAAAACATGGAATTGCATAGACTTATCAATGTGAGGCCAAAGATAGAGCATAAGTTAGTTCCATAAACTACTGAAACTGATCGCTGAGCTCAAGATGAAGTAAACCCAAGATTCAATCAGCTTTAATGTTTGGTTTTTCCTTTAGCATGTGACCACAAATAACCATAGGCGTTGCCATGTCAACCAATAACCCTAGACAGCAATGTCCATGCCTCGACACCCCTCCTCTCCCAGTACCTCACCACCCATCCCTAAAATTTTGTGCCTTATAATGCTTGACAGTGGCCGAGGAGGCAGAGTCCTTTGAGTTGGAGCTGAGCAGTTTGCTGAGCGAGATGAACTGTCCGTATAGTGCCCTGACCCAGGGGGAAATGATCAACCGCTTTGGTAACAAGGAAAACAGACTACGCCTTTTGGGTAAGCAGATAGCTTCTAGACAGCAGGGATTTATTTTGAATATGATTCTCGTAGTCCAGAGCATGACCTTTGGGTCTGTGCATCAACGCCTGAGGGAGTTTTTCACCGAGCAGCGCTCTCACTTCAGGCGACACAAGGATGTTGATATACATGTGTATCCGGCATGGAGAGCAAGATGTGGGTAGAAGGAGCTAGACAAATCTATTTCATTATTTATATTGATTTAGGCACGAGGCACCATTGGTCTTCACGTCGCCCCAGGCTTTTGTTATCTGTCGCCAGTGCAGGATGCGGATGTAAGAATCCAGCCACAACAGAAGTCATAACTGAAATAGGTCTAAAGTGACACTGGTATACAGTCCACTGAAAGTTTGCCCCCAAAAGAACAGAAATACTTCTCTGACAACTGAAATAAGTTAGTCTATGTAAACAAAGTCCCACAAGTCGGAATTGTTTTTTATTCAAATTGGTTATATTCGGGATTTTCTGTGATTGAAGTCTAAAATGCTTTGTTTCTATCCCAATAGATTCCATTCCTTAAATCTCACTCACCAGTGAGCATGCTTCTTTATAATTCTTTTCCCATTATGCCTGGTCACAGATTTCCTGACAAGTGAACTGCAGGCCGCCAAGATCATCACCTGTCGCCCCCAGAAGGTGGATGCCATGGAAACGGACAAGGAGGTATGTCTGCCTCCTTTTACTTCAAGAACGCGATACACATGTTTAGGGTCTATAGCTTGCGATTACATATTGTTACCTTTAATAGGCAAGTCACATTATGAGTACCTTTGAGGGTAGAGATTTTAAATGTTCACCTGTTATAATTACACTGAGCTGTACACCTCCTATGGAGTTTAGGGTCCTTTATGGGCCCATTGGGCAGGAATGAAGGACTACATTTTATGGTCATGCTTCATTTTTTGAACATTGAAAATGTGTACACAGTTTCATTGTTCTCATTCTTAATTGTATCCACTTGGGGGGGGTGTGATTACGCAGTGTGGATGGCACGTATCTAGCCAACACCTCAAGAACATCTGCCTGGGACTGAAGCTGTGCAAGCCCCCGGCAGACGTCAACGAGGTCCAGCTGTTCAATAAGATAGAGGAACGCATACGAGCCAGGCTGAGCCAGATAGGTGCCGATGGTGTGGGCAAGCCAATCCTTACAAAACAGCTCAGCGAACAACAGTGGGTGAGTGTCAGTGGTGTAGTCCAGCACTTTTTTCCAAATATTGCTGAGCACTGAGTTGGTCGAGTACCATTTGAGTCTGAATACTTTGCCAACCAAGTACCAGAACCGGTATCCCAGTGCAAGCACTTGAGTGTAGCAGAAAAGTGAAACTCTCAGGGCTCAGAGGTAAAGAAAACGTGGAGAGCGTTGACAGAATGTTTTATGCCACACGATATTTTTCATTGGACAAGGCAGAAAGCTGCTCGCTGTGCAAATCACTACCTTTCCGTACTAACAGGAGTATTCCACAGAAACAATGAAATGTTCAATTCCGTGATGTCATACCAACTGAGACCACTGATTGGCCAGAATACACTGTCTGAGTGGGGTATCGTCAAAAAGTCACTGAGCTTTCTAAACACGGCGGTTTATCATCCTATTACACGGTTTATCCACTCTCAATGCAAATGGACTCATCAGCCTATTTGGGCTATGGCAGACATACAAGGAGGGCGCTATTTGGTTTGGGTAAAATCTGTAGTGTTTACTTCAGATTTACCCATTTCAAACAGCACCCCCCCCCATTGTGTCTGCCAGGCTTCAAAATGGCTAATAGGGAAGCCGCGGTGTCTGACACTTGTGCCTTGCTGTTGGTCTGTGCGAATGGGCCCGCATTCCTGTCTCCAGCAACATTAAGGCTTGGTTCACACTTCATGCAAGGAGCAACGTGAAATTTGTGGCGATAATAATTGCTCTGTCACAATGCTGTTGCTCCAGTCAAATCTCCTTTTAACAAAGTTGCAGAGACCAGACAAATTACTTTGTTATTGCCTGTGCTTTCTGATAAAAGGAGTGGAAAATGGACAAAAAAACAAGAATTTGATAAATGGTGATTCTCAAAATTTCCTCTTCATGACTGTACATGTGTTTTGTTCTAACAGTGTTCTTTATGTCAAAAGTTAACTGTGTATCACATTGGCTTCGCTCTACAGGTTAAAATAACCAGCCTTAGAGGCACCTTGTAAATGAAACTTTCCAAAAATAAATGATCTACTCTCTAGTTAGTTATGTTTTGTGAGCATTTTGTTGTTTTTTCATTTTCCTAGCCTCATAATTCCTGAATTTAATTTTCATCATTGTTCAAAGCTTGGCTCTGAGTAATTCTTATGACCCTTGTATAAAATGACCAAAAATCCACATGTCTTTTTGTCACAAAAAGGCTAAACTCGGGAAGATCAATGATCGTATGAGGAAGGAGTACACGCTGAGGAGACAAATGATATTGAAACGTCTAGATGTGACGGTACAGTCCTTCCAGTGGGGAGAAAGGATCAAGGTAAGACAGACCTGCCAACTGTTCCAATATATAATTATAAAAGTAATAATAAACTTTGTTTACAGATGGTAGTCATGTCATCTAAAAAAACAGTTGATTTTCAATGGGCCATCTAACAATATTAAAATAGTCAAAAAATAATCTACAACTAAATTAAATTATATTAAAACATACAGCACATTCACTATAAAATTATTCCAATATATATGC